TCTACAGAGAAAATGCTGAAGGGTTTTGCAGAGATCCTTAGAGGTGCTAAACCATTTTGTAGGTGAAAAGTCACGGAGCTGAAGCTTTTCTGACAGCAACCCCTTTTCTTGGGCCCATTGACAGGATGAATGCTGATAAGTTATTTGTATTAGAACAGGCCAGACAAGATGGTTTTGACATTTTTCTTCTTTCTACGTTTTAAAGGGAACAAAAGGAAGATAGTCGATACTGTCAGAGCATCTCCTTTCAGACAAAAGGGTCAGGTTTTCCAATTCAAGTTCCTACAGGTGGGCACCCGCATCCTCCTCCAGATCCTGGAAATGCCCATCATCATCTCTATGAGAAGGAAGAGCGCTGAAATAGTTTGGCTCTCATAAGTGGTTGTTGGCTCTGTCTCATGTCAGACTTCATATGAGCACGGGGAAGGGCTTGCCAAAGACAGACTGCTAGCAAAGCTTGTCTGTTTTCCTCTTGATGCCTGACCTGTGTTAGCAAGGTGCTAAATATTGAATTGGATGCTGAACTCTGGATTTCCCAGAATCATTGGCCTTCTGTAGCATATTTGTTTAACTTTTATTTCATTTGTGGTGATTGTTTTCTTGCAGTTATTGTGGTGATGAAAAATGCTTTGAGCACTGGTCCAAGATAATCTCTTATCTCACCTACAGACAAGGGAGAATTTTAACATTTCTAATCATCATAGTTTCCATTGGAAAATGTACAGGGTCTGGTTAATGGAGCCCATGTATCGCTTTGCACCATCTGCAGAAACATTTACAGTTGGCTGCACTGGTTTAACAAATGAGAGGTTATTCATGAGCACTGGGGAAAAATAATGATGAAAGTTGAAAATACAAACCTAGAGACTTCACCAGGCTGATGTTTCATGAAGGACACTTCCACCAGCAAGAATGTGCCTCAACCTGGCTGAGGACAGAGGGGGGCCTGGCGGCGGAGGGAAGGTGAGGGGATGCTCCGAGTCTTTGTTATTCCCTGGAGAGAAGGAAAATTACATAGGAACAGATTCCTGACCTGCAAATTTCAAATTCAGAGTTGACCTGATGGATTCATTTGTCTTGTTTTACATTTCTGACATCCCTGATTCTTGCCTGCTTTCCCTAAAGACAGGGTGACAGATCCTGGGGTAACAGTCGCATCTTGCTTTGGATTTGAACCTTTCCAGAGACTGTGGATGTAGAGATGCATGGGGGAGGCTGAGGACCATCTGTAGAAGACTGCAGTATTGTGTAACTAGTTACTTCTGTTCTTCTTGTGAATACCAATGCTTATTATGCAAGAAGCAGTGCTAACAGACTTTGGAGGCAAGCAGAGCAAGGGCTGGAACCCTCGCTACCTGGTGAGGATGGTGTGCTAGGACTCAGCTCTCTGGAGTGGTGAATTTTGGTTGCATCCTGGTGAGACCACCTGCCCGTCGGGTTTATCTGACCCATGACATTTGATACATTCAAAGTCTCAGCTGAAGTGCAGGTGAAAAGTTCATTTCAAGTTATTCCTCTTAATTTTATTGTCCTTAGGATCTTTGTTTCAGAAATTAGGCCACAAACTCTGCTTTGTGCAAATATGTAATTTATTTATTAACATCTTTAGAATGACAAAGAGGGGAGACCATCAGCAATATTAGCTCCATTCACTACACAATTAGTCACAGAAGCAACTGTTGGCATCACTTCCATGGGTAATTTTTAATTTGGAACAGGCATAATTCTGATGTGCTCTGTAATGGAAACACAGATAGATAGATAGACAGACAGACAGACAGATAGAAATCGAAATAAAATTACTTTTTTTTATTTTCTTTATTTGATATGAAAGTAATGGTCAGGAGATGAATAGATGAATGCTTCTAATTTGCTTTAGGTTTAATGGATCCTTCCTGTTCTCAAAAGTTGCACTATTATTAACTTTTCAGAAGTGTCGTGACCTATTTTTTCAATTCTGTTGGTAAACAGACTAATAAAGCACAGAAACCCCATCTGTTCTTGCTTTACCGGGGACTTCATCAAATACCTCATTTTTCATTTAGTTCTTATTTCTCATTAAATTGTTCCCACACAAAGAGAAATGCTCAGTATTGCCTTTGTTGCTAGATCCAGATGAGAATAACCTGACTTTGATGTAAATTGGCAAAACAAATCAATCATGGAGATGGCAATACGGTGACTGGAACAAATCTTCTCTTAAAAAAATAACATAAAAGACATGAATAAGAATAATTCTACACCAATCCTACACATTATTTATACTGAAATAGGAGTGGATTGCACATGTTGTCGTCAAACCCTAATCTAGAACTTGGATGATACGTAGTTTTGGATTTTACGTGGATTAAAATTGCTTACAGCCTTCTAGTATCAGAGAATCATAGAATGATTTGGGTTGGAAGGGACCTTAAAGATCACCTAGTTCCAACCCCCTGCCATAGGCAGGGACACCTTCCACCAGCCCAGGTTGCCCAAAGCCCCGTCCAACCTGTCCTTGAACCCTTCCAGGGAGGGGGCAGCCACAGCTGCTCTGGGCAACCTGTGCCAGGGCCTCACCACCTCACAGGGAAGAATTTCTTCCTTACATCTGATCTAAATCTGCCCTCTGTCAGTTTAAAACCATTACTCCTTGTCCTATCACTACATGCCCTTGTAAAAAGTCCCTTCCCACCTTTCCTGTAGCCCCTTTGGGAGGCCACTCTAAGGTCTCCCCGCAGCCTTCTCTTCTCCAGCTGAACCCCAACTCTCTCAGCCTGTCCTCACAGGGGGATGCTTCAGACCCCTGAGCATCTTCGTGGCCTCCTCTGGCCCCACTCGAGCAGGTCTGTGTCCTTCTGCTGTTGGTGCCCCCAGAGCTGGACACAGGCCTGCAGGGGGTTCTGATGAGAGTGGAGCAGAGGGAGAGAATCCCCTCATCGCCCTGCTGCCCACACTGCTCTGAATGAAGACCAGGACATGGTTGGCTTTCTGGGCTGTGAGCGCACATGGCTGGCTCACAGTCAGTTTTTCGTTCACTAATACCCCCAAATCCTTCACCTCAGGGCTACTCTCAATGCACTCAGCCTGTGTTTGTGCTTGGAATTGCCGTAACTCATGTGCAGGACCTTGTGTTTGACATTGAACTCCATGAGGTTCACATGGTCCCACCTCTCCAGCCTGTCCAGATCCCTCTGGATGGCACATCCCTGCCCTCCAGCATGTGATCGCACCACACAGCTTGGTGTTGTCAGCAAACTTGCTGAGAGTGCCTTGATCCCGCTCTCCGTGTTACCAACAAAGATGTTAAATAATGCTGGTCTCAACACTGACCCGTGAAGACGCCACTCGCCACTGCCATCAAACCGTTGACCACAATTCTTTTAGTGCAACCATCCGGCCTATTCCTTATCCACCGAGTGGTCCATCCGTCAAATCCATGTCTCCAATTTAGAAATAAAGATGTCATGTGGGACAGTGTCAAATGCTTTGCACCAGTCCCTGTAGATGACATCAGTTGCTCTTCCCTTGTCCGCCAGTGCTGTAACTCAGTCGTAGAAGGCCACCACATTAATCAGGCACAGTTTGCCCTTAGAGAAGCCGTGTTGGCTGAAACCAGTCACCTCCCTATTTTACATGTGCCCTAGCAGAGTTTCCAGCAGGATCTCCTCCATGATCTTGCCAAGCACAGAGGTGAGACTGACTGGCCTGGGTCTTCTTTTTTTCCCTGTTTTCAAAATGGGAGTTATGATTCCCCTTTTCCAGTCAGCAGGAACTTCACTGGACTGCCACGACTTGTCAAATGTGATGGATAGTGGCCGAGCCACTTCATTCGCCAGTTGCCTCAGGACCTGTGGATGCATCTCATCAGTCCCATGGACTTGTGCCCCTTGAGGTTTCTTAGACGGTCCCAAACGTGCTCTTCTTCTACATGGGCAGTTCTTCATTCTCCCAGTCCCTACCTTTGCCTTCTGTGTCTTGGCCAGTGTGGTTGGAGCACTTGCCAGTGAAGACTGAGGCAGAGAAGTGTTTAAGTACCTCAGCCTTCACCGTATGCTGGGTAACCAGGTCTCCTGTTTCCTTCCGGAGGGGGCCCACATTTTTGCTAGTCTTCCTTTTATCACTGACATAGCTAGAGAAGCATTTCTTGTTGGCCTTGATGTCCCTGGACAAATTTAATTCTGTCCGAGCTTTGGCTTTCCTAACCTGATCCCTGTCTGCTTGGACAGTTTCTCTGTATCCCTGCCAGGCTACCTGTCCTTGCATCCACCCTCTGTAGGCTTCCTTCTTGTGTTTGATCTTGTCCAGGCGTTCCTTGTTCATCCATGCAGCCTCCTGGAGTTCTTACCTGACTTCCTATTTGCTGGGATGCATCGCTCCTGAGCTTGGAGGAGGTGATCCTTGAACATCAGCCAGCTTTCTTGGGTCTCTCTTCCCTCCAGGGGATTATCCCATGTTACTCTGCCAAGCAGATTGCTGAAGAGGCCAAAGGCTGCTCTCCTGAAGTCCTGTGCGGCCAACTTGCTGTGTGTCCTCCTCGGTGCCCTAAGGCTCTTGAACTCCACCATTTTGTGGTCCCTGGAGCCAAGGCTGCCCTTGAGCTTCACACTCCCCACCAGCCCCTCCTTGTTGGTGAGAACAAGGTCCAGCACAGCACCTCTCCTCATTGGCTCCTCTGTCACTTGGAGAAGGAAGTGGTCATCCATGCCTTCCAGGAACCTCCTGGATTGCTTATGCCCTGCTGTGTTGTCCCTCCAACAGATAGCGGAGTGGTTGAAGTCCTCTGTGAGGACCGGGGCTTGTGAACGTGAGGCTGCTGCTATCTGTTTACAGAGGGTGAGCATCCGTTCTGTCTTCCCAGTTGGGTGGCCTGTAGTAGACCCCCCCCAGTAATGTCCCCTGTCCCTGCCCTTCCTTTAATCCTGACCCATAAGCTCTCAGTCGGCTCCTCACCCATCGCCAGCAGAGCTCCAGGCATGTAGCTCATCACTGACACAGAGGGTAACCCCCCTCCTTCTCTCCCCTTCCTGTCCTTCCTAAAGAGCCTGTACCCTTCCATTCCAACACTCCAGCCATAGGAACCATCCCCCACATCTCTGTGGTGGCAGTAAGGTCATAGCCCTGCAGATTCTAGCTCTTGTTTATTCCCCATGCTGCGTGCATTTACATTAGAGGCATTTAGGTTAGGCCTCTGATGAAGCTGACTTACTGGCTGGAATTCCTCTGTGCTGCTCTCCAGGTGCTCTCGTGCTGCCCTGTGTCCTCTCTCCAGGCTCTGTGCATCTGTTACTGGCACCGGCACCAGACTGGTCGGAGTGGGATGGATTGAGGTTCCCCTCTGCTGGCAACTTCAGTTTAAAGCCTCTTTGCCAGCCTGGCCAGCCCATGGCTGGAGATGCTCTTCCCCTTCTCTGACAGATGGGCCCCATCACCCGCAGTAGACCATGTTTCTCAAAGTCTCATGGTCTAAGTAGCCAAACCCCTGGATGTGGCATCAGTCCTGTAACCAACTGTTGATTTGCCAGACTCGACTTGCCCTTTCAAACCTTCTCTTGACCAGGAGGATGGATGAAAAAACTACTTGTGCTCCGGAGTCCCGCTGCCAGGGCTCCGTAGTCCTTCATGACACTGCTCAGACTGCTCCTGGTTGTATCTCTGGTGCCCACGCGAAACAACAGCAGTGGATACCAGTCAGTGGACTGTACAAGGCTCAGCAGTCTTTCAGTAATGTCCCTGATAGAAGCCCCCAGGAAGCAGCACATGTCTCGAGGGAGTGTATCAGGCTGGCAGATTGCTATTTCAGAGAAGAGTTGGCAAGTGTTTAAGTGCTGACTCCTAAATCTTGCTACATCTGGTTCACTATGCTGAGCAGCTCAAAAGGCAGATGAAAGTGCTGGGAGGGAAAACATAAGAGGCTCAGTATCATAAAGAGAGATGAACCGAGTTTGCCTGCTTCAGATTTGGATGTAAGAATTTGCAGCAGCATAGCGCAAGGCTTTCCTTTGGATGTGGAAACCAAGAATTTGATGCTGTCTGATCATTTTTGCTACCTTAGCAGGCATGAAAATACCTTGAAATAGGCTTTGTCATCCTTCATCCGCCAAAGGGCACCCTGAGTTGTTAGGGGCTGCAGAGGGAATACATTGCTATATTTTCCCATCTGGATGTAGGGATCGCAGCTCTGCATAGCGAGTAACCGGCAGCCCCACGTGAAGTGGGTGCAGCCATCCAGCAGCTCTGGATTGCCCAGGGGACAGCACCAGAGCCTGATTCGCCTCAGCCCTGTTAATGAAGTGATTTAAGCCTCATCCATGACTTCTTGCTGGCTTTACACCAGCTTTGTCTAGTTGGAGGATGAGGCCCAGGAGGCTCAGATTCCCACTGAAGTGTCCCAAGCATTCCACAGGAGTTGGGATTGGGCTTCTCCTCATGTATCTGGAAAGGTTGTGTTGGTGAGAGCCTCATGTTTCAGAGCTGCTTGGCATTTGACACTCTGCTGTTTCTTTTTCTCTGGATGCATTTGCTTCTCAGTTCTACTGTAGGTGCTCCCTTCCCTGCTATAAGCCAGGAAGGTTCCTCCTCTGATGGCAGCTGCTGCCCAAACTCTGCCATGGCCGAACTGAAATCACAGACGTGCTCCTGACAGAGACTTGCTGCACATGAGGAAGCACACAGGGTGCTGAGATGTGCTCACTCGTCCTGGGGGCTCCTGCCTTGCCTGTGACCCTGAGCATGGTGAGAAGGAAAGCTGTGCTGCCTGAAACACGGCCCATGAGACTCAGCCTGGCGTGGGAGCCCCAGCACCCCTTCACCCTGCATAGCTACTGCATGTTGTTAATTACATTGCCAATGGTGTGTTGAAAAATCAGTTTTACCTACAAAACAGACCACAGAAAAAGAAATGAGGGAAGTTGTTAGGAGTGAGCCTACGGTATCTGGTATAATAGAGGAGTGAGCAGAGAGCTCATTTGTGTATGGATGTGTAAACATAGAAACTCACTTCAAATACCATTTTTCACTCCTTCTCTTCTTATCTCTTAATTACATGGAAATGCCTTATCAGTGGGAGAATAAGCTTTTCTGAAAAAGCATTTCCACGAGTGCTTAATGGTTGCCTGTGAGAATGATCAGAATTTGGGTTCCCTCTTTCACAATTTTAAAAATACTTTTTCAATAGAAACCCCGAATGATGTATAGAGATTGTTTTCATTTGGAATTGCTGAAATTAGGCAGAGGCAAGACCCAACAAGCTGCGTTTCTTTTTTCAGACAATGTGCTCTTACAGATGTCTTCTGTAGGTACCCTCCTGTTTTACTGTGTGCAGTTGTCCAGATGGTTCCCCCCAAGAACTGACCCTGGGGAACAGCTGCCTGCACAGCTGCTGTTGCAGTTCTTGCATGTCTCTATCAGACTCCGGAGCACAAAGCTCCCCTGGGCAGCAGCGGCCAAGCCTGGCCCTGCCCGCTGGTCCTTACAGCCTGTGTGTGCAGAGGGCTGTATTATGGTGCATGTGGCTTGTGCCACGCCTGGACCTCCTAAACCTCCCCCAGGGGAATAACTTTGTAAGGCCGTACCCACGTGTTGGAAGGCAGACAGGTCTGTAAGAGCTTTCCAGCATCTTGGCTTTAGAGTGACTTTTGGGAACCAATTAAATAGGTAGGAAAAGTCAAATCGTGCCATTTCTGCCACATGCTTTTGTTAGAAAAGGTTGAAGCAGGTTACCTGGTGCTGCCAAGCAGTAGGAGGTCTCCATAACTTCCTTCCCCATGGCTGTGGCACAGCTGGGGACCTTGTTCAGGCTCGGCAGCTTCAAGAGCCTGGGTCTCCCCACCTCACTTTTACTGCTGATTGATGTCATATTTAACACTTAATTTCTCAAAAAGCCATGCCAGTGTCTGATTTTTCTAGTGGGAGGATAAACTACTCCTGGTAGCCATTTGCTGTTGCAGCACTTCATGCATTTAAGAGCCCAGCCCTTGCAGGAGTCATGGCCAGCTCTGCGAGAGCACAAAGGCAGGGTGGTTGCGAGGGGACTCATGGCAGGGCCATGCGGTTTCACTCACACAAGATGTTTTTTGTGAGTGAACATCTGCTTTATTTCATATTTCACTTCTATCTGCTTTTCTTCTGCTTTTTGACACAGTGAGCTCTTCCAAGACCACTTCTGGGAGGCTGCTGTGGAGTCCCTGCCTATGACTTCAGGGACACTAATTTCTAAGGCGTGCTTCTGTAGGAATATAGGCTTGCAGAAATAATACCAGGATGTTTATTTTCTGCGGGGTTTATAAAACCTAATATTCTGTCTCTTTCTGGCATCTGGTTATTCCAGCGTGTTTTTAAGTTGCATTAAATAGTCAACAATAAACAACACAAAGGCTTGAGTTAGATGTGTATGGGAATAATGAGGCAAAGTCATGAACTGATCCCTTTCTGCACAAACAGTGAGTAGCAATCTTGATAACATGCTTTCAGGTAATTATTACTGTGGTTTAGATAATGTTGGTATATACTTATGTGATGTATTTGATTTTTAGTCTCTATGTTTCTCTATGGAAGGAGCACAGGAAATGTTTAATGGGCAGGCACGCCTAGATTGCTCTCTCAATTTTGCTCTCTTAGCAGCAAAACATAAATCCATAGCTTGCTGACAATGAAACCATATGGTAAGTCTTTCTCACAATTCGGTTTTGCAATATAGATAATCCTGGCTGTGCATGAGAAGAGATATTTTGGATTATTTTGTCTTAATTCTTGCATTATTCTTTATTTTTCAGTGTCTGGAAATTACATATGTACCTAAGCCCAGAGGTTTGGGTGAATGAAGAATTTATGGAATATGCTACACTTCAGTGTCTTTACTTTGAGGACACTTATTTGTCATATGAAATAATCTGTTTATTTACTATAGCTAGTGCCCTTCTCTGTTGGCAGGCGGTAGCAGCAGATTCAGATACTTTTGGAACGCTGAATATCCTCTTAGTGTAAAGCCAAACTAAAAAATGCATTTGTATAAATCAGCTCTTGCTTTACAAGAAGCTGCAGAAGTATCTGCAGGAACTTGAAGGTGTTCAACTCTTTGTGCCCTGAAGAGAATTGGATGGCTGATGGTCATCTCGATTCGGTAGATTTAGTCAGATAAACATGCCTGAAGAGTATTGAAAGGCTAAGTCTATATGGAACATCTGCTTATATAAATGTAAGTGTGGAAGTTTACCTAAATAATGATTTTCTGGAGACAGAAGGGTAAAATTAACCTAGCGGAAAAGTGAATGCAACAAGTAACTGCAAAAGCATTATAGATAGTTAATAACAAAGAATGCTGTAGCTTACAGAAGAGATTTCACAAATGAGTTATTAGAAGAACATTGATGATTAAAATGAGGGCAAATTTTATCCAGAGATATTAAATCCAAACTTGGATGAAATTCACAAAGTCATACAGCAAAAGTCCATCTATGCATTTCAATAAAAGCATTTTTAAAAAGCAAAAAATAGTGGCACATTCAATGTTTTGACTTTGGTGTGAAAAATTGTGTTGAAAAGCTCTTAGAATCTTAGAAGAAGAAATAGTATTTCTGCTCTGGCCAAGTGCAGGTGCATGAAATGCAGTTGCTGAACTTTCAGCTCAGCATCTGTGTAAAGCCATGTCTAGAAGCTTTCAAAAGTTTAGCTCTCATTAGCTGTCATTAAGATGAGCCTCTGGGGTTCCTGCCCCAATTACATTCACATGGGAATGATCCTCTGGGAATGACATAATGCTGTTACAGCCCCGGCCAAAGCAAGGCAATATCCATGGTTTCAAGGGATACTGGCTGTTAGAAATCTTTGTAGTCCTCAAGGGAAGCAAAATATTTTAAAATCCATGGCTGAGGAATAATGCTGACAAGGTCACAAGTGTTCAGAGGTTTTAATCACTCGGCATATAGCATCATGGGCAAGGACAGTGCAGGAAAGGGTCAAGAGCACTTGAACCAGCTACAGCTGCACGCATTACTCAGGATGGTCAATGCTGGATTAAATGAAATATGTCTTGAAAGAAAGATTCCAGTGCCAAATGATCTATTCTTTGGTGAGCAGAAGCTGAATAATGAGTCCAAGGTAAACTAGTAAGTCTACTGAAAGCAACTAATGAGCACTGCTGTGGTGGCTAAGCAGATGTACTTTGAACACAACTTGGCTCTGAATTGCTCTTCTGTATCTTGAGCAGCTACAAGTGTCACCAGTGTGAAGTCTGTGTATGTGATCCAGTATCTAAAAATAGCCTTGAAAGTGTAAAATGCAAAAATGTAGATATATTGCAGCTTAGAACAATGTTTTTTCATGGCAAGTCTCTGGGTGATTAAGGTAAAAAGAAAAGCCTGAGCTTGTAAGGCTCCTCTGGAGTGAGGAGGAAGGCTGTGCAATGCACACACCCCATGTATTCCAGTAATGGGATTTTGGAGGGAAGCACAAGAGATGATGGGAAACAACCCTCTAGAAAATATTTGCTCTCATTGAGATGAATTGCTGCCACAGTAAGAGACTGAAAGAAGTGGCAAAACAAACAGAAATAATCTGCATGGAATTAAACCAGGCATGTTCTTAAAAACTGGTCCTCAGTACATACTTACTTAGTAGATTAGACCAGTAATTGTCACTGTGGCTTTTGTTTGGTCTTTTGCTGAGATTTTTTGGGGTTTGTTTGCAGGGAGCTGGGGTTTTTAAGAGCGTAAATTGAAGATAGGTAGTAAGCCTGTCTGCTGGGGTTTGATCACAGGAGCTTAACATTAATTAATGACCAGGGGGGAGTTTTAATATTAAAAAGAAAATAGATTTGCTATCAACATGTGATTCTGTCAAGGTGTTCTCAAGGAGACTGTTAAAACTCTACATTTCATTTGCCTGCAATTGTGGGAAACATTATCCCCGTTTTATTTTTTTTTTATGACATAGTGCCTGGTCTGGCCTTGCAACTGCAACGCAGTTGCCTCTGAGTCTGCTGAAGTAATTTGGAAATCCTGTGAAAGACAGGGAACTTGGGTTCTGATGTAGAAGCGGTTCTGATATTTAGTAAATGTTTTTTAAAAAAGAAAAAATATTATTAAAAGAGTTTCCAGATTCTGTCAGTGCACATGTACAAACCCAGAACATTTATTTATTGTTGTTGTTTTTGAAGTGTATCTGGATGTCATATGTCTTAATGACCAATCATTAAAATTTGTGTTTAAAATGAGTGTGAAACAAGGAGTGTTGTGACAATAAAACTCAATGTATAAAGTTAGTGGCTGACATTAGGTGGCCAAGAGAACAGCTCCATGACTCAAAGAACAGCTGTATGAACAACAAAGAAATAGAAAGAGAAAAGATGAATGAACAAAAATGTACTAAAAAATGAATGATGGACTATAAAGCAGAGTTGTCACTTGAAAATGGAGATAAGATGGAGATAAGATTAATGTACTTGTGCTGTATGTGTCTCTCTGTCCCCTCCCTGTGACTTTTGAACCCACTGGCTCAATTCAGCCAAGACCAACAGAGGTGCAGGGCTCTTGAATGATAGGAAGTTTCTGTAGGATCATGAGAAGATGCTACCAAGTAGTCTGAAACGCTGAAATATGTGATCAGTCCATTAGATCATGGAAAGTTTGCATGGGGGAGGATGTGTTGCAAATACTCCCAGCATGGAAGCTGCCAGCCTGAGCACTTAATTAAACACACAGAGTCCAACAAGACAGGACTCTGTAGGAGACCATGACACTCACAGAATAACTTTTTTTTTAATGTTTAATATGTATCAGTCTGAGCAGATAATGTTGCAACAGGAGTAAAACCCCTCTTTGCGATGGGGGTCAGGGCAGTGGAGCTGTTGAATGTCGCGGAAGAGGGTTTGGCCTTGGACACGAACTTGGCAGAGCAGTCAGAATTGCCCACCCCGAGGTCTGTTACTTGTTTTAACTGTTAACTTGGACTGATTTACGATCTGATCGCAATAAAATTTAAGTGGACCTTTGCTTTTGGCTCTGGCACTGCATTGTCTTGCTTTGGTTTTCTTCTGCAGGGCAGTGCAGCCGCATCTTCCCTCCCCGGCTTGGCACGCTGCAGGTCATTCACGGCAATGGCACAGCCGTGGGGACAGTGATAACGTTCCAGTGCTCTGCCGAGCACCAGTTGGAGGGACCAGGCGTCATCACCTGCATTTGGAAAGGGAACAGTACCCAGTGGACAGCCGGAGTGCCCTTCTGCAAGCGTAAGGTCCTTTTCAAACCATTCCCAGTCCTTTTCGGACTGTGTTTATTCTGCCCTGCCTATCTCCTACAATGCTAGGATTAATTCTAGACATCTGTGCAAGGAAAAAGACAAACTCAATTTCCTTCAAAGTTGCCCCCGCTGACTGCAATTGCGTTCCATGTGTGTTCTGACATCATTCATTATCATAACACAGAAAAGACTCTGTCAGGTTTATGCCTGATCTCATGTCACCGACTTCAGTAGTGTTGCACCCAGAGTAACTGGCTCTGTAGCTGCAAGCTGTATCTTTCTTTAGAATAGGTATAGATATGACCAAGTAATGTGCAAGCATATTTTCAAATCCTCTAATCTCCCGGCTTTCTTTTCTGAAGAAATTTTTGCTATAAAAGAATCGCAGGTTGTTGCCTGTGGGCAGCCACATGGGAAAGTTAGCATAATGACAAATAGTGTTTGAATGGCAACAACATTAACTACCTTTCCTGCTGTATTCCTTCTTATTTACTATAAGGTTGTTAGTAATCTGACTAGAAGTCAAACATGGGACCTCTGAGCTTTGAGAATCTCAGTCAGTGTCTCAGACCTTGTATAATTTTAAATAGTCAGTAGATGGATGGCTCTTTTAGACGCTTACCACTCTCTCACAAACTCAGCTATTTCTGTCTTTCATTTGAGAGATTCTGTTAAAGAAAAATGAGGGAAATCCTTCCCTCCAGAAGCTGCAGAAATATGACACTTTGTGTGGAGCTCAGCTGAACCATTTCTGATAATGGTCATCTTGGTGCTGGAAGAACTAGATGAGTTTTGCAGCAAGACATGCTTAGTGCTCCAGATGAGCTGGTAGAGATCTGCCTTAGCTGTGCCACACCACATTACCATTCCTCCATTTGTCTGGATGATTCACTTCCAGCATCAGATCACTGTGAACACTCAGTCCTGCATATACTGTCCCTTCTATCCTGCATCCTTCCCCAAACAGAGAAAGACCTGTTGTTTGCTGCCTGGCAAATAGGATGTAATTATATGGAACTGTCCTCACTCTAAAGGGCTTCTTTAAACCCATTTATCCCTGTCAGTATTTGTTTTTGCAGCTCCAGTCCTTGTTAACAATTGCTTATAAGAGTCTGCTAGCTCATCTGCATTTGATATGTTGACAAAGTTGTGCTTTTTAGCTACTGGAGTGCTAAAGGCATTGTGTTTAATTAATTGCAGTGGTGAAAGACTTGTGAACAATTCATTAGTGTATTATAAACAGGAGATTTTTAAATAGACGAGTTTGAGGCTTGTGTAGCTCTTAACTGAAGCCAAGATACTCTGGTATCTTGATGCATACTGACTTGAAAGTCCTCACTATTATTAGCAGAAGTGTGAAGCAGGTAGGCTTCAGCATGGTTTAATGCAAATGTGAAAGATAAATTAATGGGTTGACCTTAGAAACATGCTTCTGTGTTTGCTTTCCTGCAGCCATATCAAAATATGAGACCTTTGGATTTAAGGTTGCAGTGATTGCCTCCATTGTGAGCTGTGCCGTCATCCTGCTGATGTCCATGGCTTTTTTAACTTGTTGTCTTCTCAAGTGTGTGAAGAAAAGTGAAAGGAGGAGGACTCAAAGGTATGTCAAGAAAAGATTCTTAAACTGGCCTAAGACTATACATCATATGGACTCCATTCCTGTGATAGCAGAGAGCTTCAAAGGACTTTATGCTTGCAATACCACAATGATGTTAGTTATTTAAAATCCTTAACTTGTAGGTCGGGCTTTAGGCATAGAAGGACATGAAATTCAAGAGTGGTTTAGGTACCTAATGTATGTTAATATCAGATGATCTCAGCGGGCCTGGGTAGATCGGGATTTACCCAGGATTATGCAGATGAACATACAAGTCTTATTTGCTGGCCCAGTCTTTCTCTCCTTGAATTATTTAAGATTATTTAAGTTTTCCCTTCTTCCCTCTGTCTTCCCCTTTTTTTTTCCCTTTTCTTTCCTTGAACACTGCTAGGAAAATTAATCTACCCGTGTCCAAATCATCAAAGCCCTCACTGTCTGCAAAGCATACTTAAAGCTGTCACAATGCAGAGCTGGAAAGATGTAGGGTTTTGTCTTCTGGTTTGAAGCACAAATCAGTGGGCAGGATTATGAACAGACATGAAAAGAAGTAAAATTTACCAATCCAGCCCATTATAAAAACTCCGTGTAAAGGGTGCTGCATGGCCACACCTGGCTGTACCCTAAAGCCGAGCCACTGCTGTTCATGGAGTATCCCTCCAAAGTCACCTGCTGCAGAAGGTTTTCTCCAGGCTCCTCTTCTCCACTTCCCTCTCACTTCTCCAGCATATTGTTCCCACCACTGCAGGTAACTCAGTGGGATGGCTGCACCCCATCCTGCTGATGCCTGCTGTGCAGGCAGTAAGCTGCACTTTAGGTTTATTTTAAGCCTCTTCTTCCTTCAGATAAGTGTTTGGAGTGAGGCAGAGTAGTGGCAGAGTAGAGGGAGACTGGGGAGGACACAAATGAAGGTCTTGCTGCTCCAAGCTGTGTTTTATCTAGAGCTGCGTGGGAACCAGCTTAGGGGGGAAATTCTGTCATTTTGAAATCTGATTGTACCCAAAATACAGATTTTCTATTTCCCTTGAGAGGATTTTGTGAGGAAAAAAAAAAAAGTCTTTGGTGTCATTCATAATACTAGTTTTTCACAGATAGCATGAAATAAATTTTGAAATCAAAGGGTTGATAGGCATTTTTTGAATCACCACTTTTCTTTTTTGGTAAGACTATTTGTATCAAAGTCCATGTTTTTCATTTATTTTAAATGAAGTTTTGTCAAAATTAGCTGTTCACATGACATTGATGACTTGATATTTTTCTCTTACAAAAGAAAAGCCCTTCACACCAGACGTTTTGACCTAGTTCTGTCATCAGGACATAAAATAATCCACTTTGCTGGGAGCTTCTCGGTTCCATGCTGCCCTCTGTCCTCCCTTGACTGCCTCCTGAAGGAGCTGCTGCAACCCAGCCTGGCCACAACTGAGCCCTGGTCCGGGGGGGAAACCTGGGGACACTATAGACATTGTGTGGCTTGGCCCCACTGTCAGAAAGTCACTGAGATGATGTAGAAACTGTCCACATCACATGAGAAGGAGTAACGCATCCCTGTGTGAAACTTGCTCAACCCACAGCCCATGCTACGGACTGCCTGCTGCAGTGTAGCTTCTCTTTTGTCGATGTAGCTGGAAAATGTGGATCAACTTTTGAATGCTAAAAGCATTCATTTGAAGAGAAGCTGCAGGCTTGACAGCTTAATACAAAATGAGGATACTTGGTCGGGCATTAGTTAAATAAGTGTCTCTTAGACCATCTCTGAAAGAAAAGGGAGTCTTTACCGTGGAGTAGGGAGGATGTCCTCATCTTGCCTTTAGCTTTGGACTCTGCCTGTCTACTTTCTTTGGTCTCTCTTAATTGGTCTTAATAGAAGAAATCACATCTCTTACAAACCTGTTTTGCAAGGTGTCTGATGATCTTTGAAGTACCATCTTGTGTGTTATCCTTGCATTTGGAGAGAAAAATGACAAAAGCTGCTGAGAATCCTCACATAACTTAGCCTCCTCACAGATCTTGTCCCACCGCGTGAGCGCATCTGCCATTTTCTTTGGGAGGAGCAGGGTTACATCTTGAGAGGACAGAAATGACACCAGCATCAGCATTGCCAGCCCTCACAATTTAATCTTGCCCCTTCAGCTAGTGTGAATGTCTGTGATTATGTGAATCGTACACTTCTTTTAAAAACAAGAAAAGAAATTGTGATTCTTTTTTTTTTTTTTTTTTTTTCCCCCAAAGTTGTAGAAAGCAGCGTGAAAAGCACCTTGAGCATTTTGGAAAGAAAATGCTGAAGGCAACCAAATAAGCTCTGCTTTTAACAAAAGCAACATTAGCTGTCTCTTCCATCTTTAAGTCAATTCATCTTTTCAACCTGACCGGTGATTTTGGAACCCTTAGGAATGTCAGTGCTGCAAAAATTCACAGAAAATGCTTCTTTTTCTGAAATAATTTATTCCATAAAATGGGGATGGTCTGTAGACTTTTTACATATGACAGCATCTGGCCTGACATGTGTCACTGATGAAGGTCCATGAGAAGAGTAACACAACATCATGCCTTACATGACTTTCCCTATTACCTGGAGTCTCAAAATCCTCTGAATCAAACTGACATAATTATTGGGGTGTTGTTTCTTTGAACTATCCACAGGTGCTCATAAGAAAATGGTTCTTTTTTGTTTGTTTCTTTGCTTGCTTTTTGAGGAGTGCTGGATAATACTTAAAATAACGCTATTTTACAGAATATTATTTATGCTATTTAAGAAACCCCCACCTTAAGGTATTTAAGCCTCTGGAAATTTGGCTTGTGTTTAAGTGCTGTCTTCAGTAAACCTGGATTTAGGTGGTCAGATAAAAGCTCAGATATGAAGCTATTTATCACAGTAATGTATTTTACCCCTTGCTTTATTCACAGAGATATGCAGCTTTGGTACCAGCTCAGAACTGAAGAACTAGAGCACATGCAAGCTGCTTACTTTGGTTTTAAGGGAAGAAACAACAACAACAATAAGAAACTCAGGAATAAATCCGTATTTGATGATGTGACTAACATGGCATATGATAACCAAGGCTTCTACAGGTAAGGCTATTAAGATACAGTGGCTTGGAATGAGTTTGTTGAACAAATTTTAGAAAGACAGTTCCTCAAAAATGCATTTTAAAGTGATGCCCCTGAAGAGGATATGATGCCAGTGGATTGTCAGGGCTTGTTCTTGAATTTACCTGTCTTGTGGGGAATTAATGTTGCCAGAAGGCGAGACAGCAGAGAAGCTGAGCATGACCTCCCTCCTTACAGCTCCTTTCATCTATCCCCAGCAGTGCCTGGTTAAGCCTGTCTGCAGGAAAGGTTGCACCAGATTAACTGGAGAGAGGTTTTTAATTGGCTTTGTTAAACTGATGCTAAATGGCGGCAGGAAAGTCACTACTCTGTATTGGTTAGTGGTACCAAGGTGCCAGCTTGCCTAAGAGCCTTAGGAGAGGAGGCAGCCAGGGACAGCTGGGGCTGTGGTATGGCTCAAGGTGAGCATTGAGTACGACCATTTAGCCCTTGGTGACTGCAAAAGCTCCCTTGAGCAATACCAGGTATTTATCAAGGTGTGCAGGACAAACACGATGGGATCCTAACCCACAAGGCAGTGTGAATGCTCACAGTGAAATAAAGTGCATCACAGGCTGTGGATGGTGGGCAGAGGTATTGTTTGTGTCAGTCCAAAATCATCTCTGAAAGTGTCCAGATGTGTTATGACTGGATGTGTTGTTGCTGACAAAAGAAAACCAGAAAATGAGTATGTGTTACATCCTAATGCTGGTTTGCTATTACCATTCATATAAACACACGTCACTGTGTCTTTTATATCCTTTGGGTTCTGCTTCGTTGTCATGTATGATAATATATAGCACATTCCTTGTTTGCTTTGAATTCAGTGCTCACTTGTACAGTTTTTATGTACAGCAGTATCTATGATTTGTAGTGGTTACCTGCAGAAAGCAATTTTATGCAGATTATAAACCTACTTCCATGTCACAGTGCAGCTGGAAATCATATTCAAATAGAGCACTTGCACAAAAGTCTGATGGCTGCTTAATCAATTTCTAGCTTTGGGTGATTTCAGGAAGATGTATAAACCTAATTAAATGCTGATTATAACCTAAATGGTTTTTAGAAGACTCGGGATGCAATTTTTAATTTTGGTTCATGTTTTGAATAAGTGTAATCTACTTTTAAAATAACATGAGTAAACTTATAAAGGGCTGTAAACAGAGGTTAGTGCTCTGCTGGAGTCTTGAGCTCCTTCTGGGTTCTTATCTGCACCACTCCACTGAGCAGAAGCTGCTGTATTATGTTTACCAAATTTTGTACACCTTTTCTTGACTGAAAGTAGCAGGGAATATACAGTTCCTCCAGATAAGCAGCTTCTCTGGGGCCAGAAATCAACAAGTTTATTATTTCTTTAGAAAATTGGAGAATGTATAAACTTCAATGGGGAATTGCAGAGGACAGGAGGAGGAAAGCCTCTGAACTCTTCTTCTCCTATGTAGAACAGTACACATGCTGTGTTAAATACTGGCACACATACCCAGCTCCTGATGCACGAGGCCCACTGTTAATCAAGGTGTACTGTATTTCCACCATGCAGAGTGATGTGATCTTGGCTAATCACTAGCCAGAGCAAAAAACAGCTAGGAGAGAAGGTGTATTAATCTCTGCACCCCAGAGCCAAAAGTCTAGCTGTTTCGCACATGGTGAACGGGCACCGCTTCTAATCAGAGATGGAAATGGTATTGAAGCTGACAGACTCTGAATAAATCTCTCTTGGAATTGCTTTAGGAACAGGTGTGACCCTTCATCAATTTGTACCTTGTCCCTTTCTTCACTCAAATAAGATATGTTTAATCAAGGTTAGTAAAAGATGCTGATTTCTACTGTTTAATTCTGTTAAATGGATCTATGCACAGGATGCGTGTGGGAATTCTAACGTATTTCATGCCAACTCTTGGAGACGACAAATGTGTTTGTGTTTCATTTGCAAGACTTACTTTTTGTGTGTAGAAAATTAAGCTAATTTTCATCATCCTGTGCACATCCAGCTTATTGGGAACAGCAGGACAGTGCAGGCAAATCCCCGGGGAGGTGCAAACAAGAAGCTGGATTATGGTGGGAATGCCAGCATGAAGGCACATGGGCACTACCTGGGTGGTGTCTGCGGTACCTTTCTCTGTTTAACATGAAGTGGACGTGTTGGCAGCCTACGCTGCTCTAACTGTATTGGTGTTGCTATAGTGGTGGGGCTGTTACAGCATCGATTGTCTGAGGAAATAAATAAAGGCATGTGGTGTGGTTGGAAAAAAGCAGCAAAACCGAGGGCAAGCAAGCCCAAAGGAAAGAGTCTGTGTATTGCTGTGCACATGTGAACCTAAGTGTGTGTCCATGGTCACAAACAAGCCAAAAGATAATTTAACCAAGGCTTCATAAGGAAGGTTTAGACTTGACGTTAGGAAGCTTTTCCTTACCAAGAGGGTGGTCACACCCTGGAAGGGGCTTCCTGGAGAGGTGGTCAATGCCCCAGGCCTGTCAGTGTTTAGGAGGCATTTGGACAATGTCCTTAATTTGCTTAAGTTTTCAGTCAGCACTGGAAGTGTCAGACAGTTGGACTAGATGATTGTTGTAGGTCCCTTCCAACTGAACTATTCTATTCTATTCTATTCTATTCTATTCTATTCTATTCTATTCTATTCTATTCTATTCTATTCTATTCTATTCTATTCTATTCTATTCTATTCTCTGAGCAAATCAGAAATCCTACTTTGTTTTTCTAATAAGGAACTGTCCTACGAAGCACGGGGGGCTAATAATTTCCTCCCTGCCTTTTTCAGGGCTGTGGTACACATTGTCCTCTGTGATACAGCCACGGGAAGTGGCTCTGCAACCCACTTAGATGGGGAAGGCTGAGACATGAGAGGTGCCTGTCTGAGAAAGGAGTGGGTGGAGGCTTGGCAATTTAAGTTGTTTTTACGATAGCATTTCCTTTTCTTATAGAAAACTGTTCTGCTGCTTCTTCATGTAACATATGAAGTATCTGGAAGAGTGATAACTCCTCCACCCTTGAAGAAGACCCTCTTGAGTATATCTTAGCCTATTTTTGACTAGAAAAGGATGTAGGTCATGCTGCTTTTCAGACTTAATTGCAATAGATTTAGAGATTAACATTTTGATTCACCACTTTAGGGATCAAAAATACTGTAAGAACACATAAAATAAAAAGCCAACTTTTTTCAGGTAAGCCAATATTAAATAAAACAAAAAGGCAACTTTCAGACAGGTAAGATATTTGTTATGGTTTACAGAGTAATTTAGGATTAAAAAACTATCACCTCTTAAACCAGTGCCTTAGTATGCTGATGAGCTAATTTTGGCTGTAATGAGGTGACACAATATGGATGCAGAATGCTGGTGGACAGAAGTTATAAATAATGTAGGAGCCCAGCTGTTGAACAGTAGAGACTCCAGTGTGCTGTTCTGGCCTTGTCTGCCCTGAAATAAGATCTTTTTCCCCTTGTGTTTGAAGCATGGAACAAAGGTGAGGAATATATAGTTTTGTAGGGAAATGTTGAATTTTAGTGGCAACTACTCTAATTATAGTGAGCCCCATTCTGGCTTCTTGGCTGCTTGAACAAATTGCTTTATAATACTGAGAAATGTGTCTACAAATACCTGGGATTGTTAACCACAGAATACAGTTACTGTTGATGCCACCGCTTTAATTTGGATGTAAGGAAACCTAATGAGAATAAAAATACCAATTTTTTTAGCAGAAAGCCTTATATGCAGGAGCTGCAAGCATTTACAGCACATTTTCTCTTTTATAATATTTGAAGAGCTAACTAATGTTGAGCAGGGAAAGACAAGTTACAAGGCATGGGGCCGCTGGGAGGGACATGTTTTCCCCAGTGTTGCTTCTCAAAAGTTTAGAGCAGAGATAGCAGGTTGCGGGACGCAGAGGTTCGAGACAGATTAGCTGAAGAAAAGGGTCTGCCATCTATGGGAGGGAGATTAGCTGCTGCTCTGGGCCACATAGATAGAGGAGAACAATGTGCATGAATCTCCAAAACAGCTCCCCAGGAGGACTGCTAGGCAGAGACAGGGCTTGTCGACATGGGGGTATATTGGGAATAGCTCTCACAGCCTGACTGCAGCATGTGTCAGGAGAAAAGCCTAAAGTCAGTACATTATATTCTGCTCTCTTTAACATTTGAAGATTTAAAAGTCTTCCTGGTTCTGCATGAGAATGGAACCAGGACTGTTGGCATCGTTCATCCAAAGTGAGAGAGTTGCCAAAAGCCGTGGAGAGCACCGCATCTGCTTGGGCTTAGACAGGCACTGTGGGTCTTGCTGGGGAGAGCCCTGAGCACTGGGGGCATTTGGCATTCCGAAGGAACTTGCTTTTGAAACACCATGCTAGGTCCTTCTGAAATGGGTATGTTATTTTTGCATCAGTTATTTTCTGAGGAAGACTGACCCTGCAGCGATCCTTCTCTGGAATACTTGCTTTGGCAATCTCCACCCGAGGTGAGCAGTCCTCTTCTGTCCCCAGCAAACAGCCATGGGGGAGAGCTGCCTGAGCAGGCAGGTTGTCCTCTGCCCCGTGACAGGCACAGGGTAAAAGATCAGTAAAGAGAAGCTTAATGACCAGCTGTCCTTCCTATGTGCCAGCTACTGGTAACATTTGAGAGATGGAGTAAGAAAGAGACGATACTGAGACAGCTGGTTTGGAGAAGAAGAGCGGGCAGAGCCTCAGGTGGTCACAGGAGTGTGCTCACCCGCTGCCCTGGGTCAGCTGTAGCTCTTCCCCGGGTCAGTGGTTGGTACAGATAAGTTGAGGCAAGTTTGGCTGTGGGATCCCCTGCCTGGAGTTAAGGTCAGCAAACTCCAGCAGCTTGCTTGTGGTTCCCAAACCGGAATAGCAGCCTCCTCTTTTCCGTTAAGCAGTCCTAGCCATGCCTCTAGGAGAAATCATAAAAATATGCACAATCTAGTGTAATTGTCATGAGAGCAAACAGCAAACCCTTTTTGGCATGCAA